TTCACCCACTCCTTTCCACTATATTGGTAGACCTGCCCTCCAGAGAATGGGTCACCCCTTTCCACTATATTGGTAGAGCTGGCCTCAGACTGTCACCCCGTGCTGAGCCATAGAAAATGTACCAGCACTTGGGAGGGGGGGCTCTTGCAGTCTACTTTGTGTTTTTTAGTGTAATATGACAACCAGCATTACAGGTCAAATATAACAGAGGTGAGACAATCATTGCCAGAACCTTGCGTAATCTAACAAACAAGAAGTTGTTTAAATGTTATCAACCTGTCCAAACTACTTATTTATTCAAATATTTATATCCCACTTTTCCCTGTAACTTAAGGCAGCTTACAAGTCACACTGGAAAGCATAATAGGGGTGTGCAACAAAATAAAATATCATTTTTCCAGCTCCATTGTAGCCTATGGTAACCATTATAGTCAATGGCCTCATAGGCTATAATGGAAAATCGATCTGGGGGTATCTGCAGCTCGGGGGACTGTTTTTTGAGGGAAATGAATCAAATTTGCAGCATAGTTGCTGGTGCCTCTCCTCTAACCTCCTCCCAAGTTTCAAAAAGATTGGACCCGGGGGCCCAATTCTATTGGCCCCAGAAGTAGGTGCCCTCATCCTCCATTGTTTCCAATAGAGAGAAAATGCCTTGTGGGCTGAAAGCAGTAATCCCTGCACTGCCTGTTACAATTTTGTGTGCCAGCACCACCTAGCCCAGCTTAATCTGGCTAGAAGAGAAGAGATTGGATTTATACCTCACCCTTCACTACCCAAAGGTGTCTCAGAGCGGCTTACATACTCCTTTCCCTTCCCCTCCCCACAACAGACACCCTGTGAGGTAGGTGGGGCTGAGAGAGCTCTTGACAGAAACTGCTCTTTTTCAAGAACAGCTGTTATCAGAGCTATGGCTTGCCCAAAGTCATCCAGCCAGGTGCAAATGGAGGAGTGGGGAATCAAACCCGGTTCTCCCAAATTAGAGTCCGTGCACTTAACCACTACACCAAACTGGCTAGGGTGGCTCCCAAGGGTTCCCGGGCCCTCCTAAATTTCTGGAGAGCCCCTTCCTAAATCCTACATGGCTCCGCCTCCATAAATAGTGACAATGGCCTGTGATGTCACTGGCTCCTCCCTATGATGTCACTGGGCCTCGGTTCTTTTAAGGACCTAGCACAGCAATGCCTCTGGCCCAGCCCCAGCCCCCCCGGGAAATTGGAAAGTCTACGCCCTTGTAATGAAGTGTCATATGACTCACCACATGACCTACAGGATCTGAACAGATCTCATCTGGTTAGCTGCCCCATATAATCATCATGTGGGCATGTTTTAGGTATGGTCAAATAAAATGGCTGAAGAGATAAACTTTGCTATGAAAGCTGTTCCGAGTCGGGGACAAGTTCCAGCTCTGGCTTCTGGGCTTGAGCATAGATTCTGGTGAGTAGGAAGATGCCAGCAAACTAACTGGGCTCCTGTTCTGATGTCCTTCACAGCACAGAGGCCAAGTAAGAAGCTCCCAAATGACTTAGCTATGTGACTACGTGAAGTGCAAAGCTGTTGAGAATCACTTTATATTTCCTTCTCATTCACTGGTTGCATATTTGAAATATAATCTTTATGAAGTACATTTATTAATTTTACTTGTCCTTATGTGCACTAAGTACATGGTGGATGGCAAATGCATACAAAGCTTTCTAAACACAAGAACCCAGTTAAGAAAACATTTAGGGTTTTTTTGTGAGTATTGTGTATGTGTGTTTATGTGTGTGTGCCTGGAAGTCATGGTTGACTTCTGGAGACCCCTAGTGGGGCTTGGACATCTCAGTGGCTTGCTATTGCCTGCCTCTGTATCCCGGCCCTGGTATTCTTTAGAGGTCTCCCATCCAAGTATTTGTCAGGGGTGACCCTGCTTAGCTTCCAAGATCTGATGAGATTGGGCTTGCCTGGGCTTTCCAAGTCGGGGTAGTTAAGAAAACATTTAAAGTGGCATTTTCTTTTGTAAATGGTGTGTGGATGTTGTAAAAAAATTACCCCATTCTAATAGTCACATATGGGCTCATCTGTAGATACCAAAATCTGTGGATCGGTCTCACAATGACTAAAAACAGATAGTTCTGCAAACCTGGGGGACCTGTTTCCTCAACAAGTAATCACATTGTAGAATTCACTCCTAGTGGATGTAGTGATGGTCACAAGCACAGAAAGGTTTAAAAGAGAGTTAGACAGATTCATGGAGGAGAGGTCCATCAGTGGCTACTAACCATGGTGACTAATGGGAGCCTCCATCTACAGAGGCAGCAAACCTCTGAATACCAGAGATGGAAGGCAGCAGCAAGTTAAGGCCTTGGCCTCTGTGGTCTGTTTGTTGGCCCTCCTGGGCAACTGTTTGGTCACTGTGTGAAACAAAATGCTTGATTAGATGGGGCCCAGTGGTCTGATTCAGCAGGCTCAGTTTATGTTCTTATGTTCCCATGAGGATTCCCATATCTTTGGATCTCATAAGTGTATCCAGCTTCTGGTCCTACCAGATTTCAAAGTGTAGCTGAATAACAATGGGGCACAGACCTCTTCAAGTGAAGCACAGCACAGGACATCAATAACAGTTTATATGATATTGATAGGAAGTTAAAACTGGACTTGGAAACTTACTCAACATAATAAGTGCCATAAATGGGATCATCAATCTTCTCCCAGCCATATGGTAGCTCTGCAAAACAAAGAGTAATGCTTCTCAGTAAACACAGCACGGGATGCCGAGATTTCTAATAATAATGAAAGAATATTGTCAAACATGATAACTATGTAACACAGTTAAATAAAATGCTCAAAAGCAATGCCAAATTCTAGATGCATTCCATGCCAGTTGAAAGTACTTTTTGGCTTGAAAACTGGCATGAAAAACTGTCTAAGAAGAATACAGCCTAGGTTCTCTCTTGCTGTGCAAACAGTTGTCCCCACCAGAAATAGTAGTGTATTTATCTGTGGTATCATTGTCCAAGGAAATCCTCTCCCCTCCAAGAAATGCTAATGATCACAGACAGTGAAAACAAAGAAAATCAAAGTAAGTGTTTTCTGAACTGTACATTACGGTTTTAAATGCTATAATGATACCGTTGGCAGTAACCTAAAACTTGCATTGCTTAGTTCCTTATTTAGCTTCATACAGCAGAGACAGCGGGAGTATCCATTACAACCAATGTTCCCTCTAAGCTGCAGGGTCTTGTGAGCAAAAGTTTTACTTTGTGAGCTACTGGCATTAAAGTTGTGAGCAAATGATTGGGCTACTGCATAAATAAGTTTGCTCTGGAGCCATCCTTCCTGAGCTGAAGGCTAAAAAACTGTGAGCTAGCTCACACTGACTCAGCTTAGAGAGAACAATGATTACAACTCCTGCAAACTTGTACCATCAGAAAAGACATATGCACTATGCACAGTACAAAAACTGCATAAAGACACTTTATTGTGGACATAGGCAGGATGGTGGCTGTGCATTAGAAATGGTGCTATTCCTGCCAAATGAGATACTTAATTCAAATCAGTGACGTGGGTTTTCGGGGGGGGGGAGAATTAATTGGCAATGAAAGCCATTCACACATGAATTGTTGCAGATTCAAAGAACTGTCTGCAATATATCCATGTCCACTTATCTATTTCAACAGGATTTAACTAGAGGATGCTGGGGCACCTCAGTTTCACTGTCACTCTCTGTAGTATTGTTTGTATTAATTCCATATCAGGCTGGTGATTACAATATTCCTTCCACTGTGTGAGAAGAGGCATTATGAATGATAATTGTAACTTTGTTTTAAATTTGACGTGCTAAGATGATAAGGCATATTTATAACTTGATTTTTATTTTAATAACTATATATATTTGTAGTTTTATCATCCTTTCCCCCATCTACAATCCAATATATTATACACAGACTCTGTCACATAAATGTATCTGACTGATCATAGGCACTGTTTCCACAGACACTTAACAAAAATGTGTATGTGGGATGAAATAATATACTAATCCATACTTGCATTATATTCACACATGAGGGGGGAAGAGCAGTGCCAGAGAAAGTTACCCCAAAGATGTTATCCATGCTGTTTCCACACTATCTGGACCTACCCAAACACTGCATCAAAACAAATCACATGATTTGTTCAGCTCCGTGGGCTCCCAGGGTGATCAGGGAACCCAGAATGGGTATAATAATACTATGAAGTTCTCCTAAATGAGTTGTATTATCCTAATTTTATCTTTCATAGTTCCCTTTACATAGAACAACCTTAAGAAGACAGAAAAGTGCCCAGTAGCAGAAAAAACTGTTAGTGTTCTATAATTTAATCTAGAGTCACCTTGAGTCCTTTGCCAGATAAAAGCAAGGTAGGCTGCGATCAGATGTGCCTTTAAATCCGATATAGCTGCTGATCCCAGATGGATCTAAAGTGCACGATCAGACAGCAACATCTCTCAAAGTTTCCACAGTCATTGGCACCCTGTTCTGCCCCACCCCTGAAACGCAGTAAAAAGACACTGCGGAATGTCCGGTCCTAACGCTTGCTGATGGGCCACGGATGAATTTTCCCAAGTCTGATCACTCAAGCGTGCTATCAGGCCATTGGGATGGTCTGCTCACTCCATCCCAACTGGGCACCATTTTTTGCTCGCTTAGCAATACGCGCATAACTGCATAATCACCCCCATCTCTAGGCCAGCTTTGAAAACAAGCAGGAAAGGGAGTGATCTTTGTCAAGTGACCACGGCTCACTGTGAACCAAAGGGATCACAGTGCTCTGTGGAAGGATCGGTGAGTGGTCAAAGCAGAGACTCGACTCCCAGAAGTTGGAAAGTGCATGTGCCAAAAACTGCACCCTCATTTATGCGCATGCAGAAAAACAGGCAACCCCCCCTCGCCCATCCATGTCATCTCATCGCGCAGTGATGGGCTAAGCCCGCAGCGAAATGGATGCCTGATCAAGCAACTTTGTTTCAAATACCAACAGATGAAATAGGAGCACTTCCCAACGACGCCAAATGGCACATCTGACCACAGCTGCAGAAATAGTTTAAATAAAAAAGCCCAAGTCTTAAAACAACCCATTTAAGTACACACTTCATCTGAAATGGAAACAACACTTCTTTCACAAGCTCCTTCAGAAGCATTGTTCTCTATAATTATGCAAAAGAAAAAATTGGAATAAATTTATGATTTGATATTAGTTTACTCCTCTATGTTTTTCTAACTTAATTATGCATAATGGTATGTGTGAGCTGACCAAACTGGTAAAGAGTTCAGATAGCAAATCCCATTTTTGAGTGTAAAAGTCTGTTAAAAATTTAATGAGTTGCGACTATTATGAAGGGCCCAATTTCTGAAAGCCATGGGCAGAACTGCTAACTATATTACCTCCATTGGAAAAAAAATTCAGCTTTGCCTTTGTGGGTCATAAAAAACCATATAAATTCCTCATAAGGCTATGTGTTAATTTTATTTTTCCATCCACAATGAACGCTGTGAACTATATTTAATTAACATTCTATGCAGACCAGTAAAACAGAATTACTAGCACTCATTCTCTGAGCTACTAGCTGAAAGTTGCCAGATACACCTTGCAGAGCACAGTTTGCTATAGAACTACTGTTTTAAGTGCTGCCTGTTACCTTTGCTTTAAGCTGGCTTGTGATTTTCAGTATCACTAAATAAGAGGGCAACCACAATGATTAGAGGGTTGGAGTACCTTCCTTAAGAGGAAACACTGAGAAGTCTGGAACTTTTCAGTTTAGAAAAGAGATGACTAAGGGGGGACATGATAGAGGTTTATAAAATTATGCACGGGGTGGAGAGTGTAGACAAAGAGAATGTTTTCTCCCTCTCCCAAAATACTAGAACTTGAGGGCATCCAATGAAGCTTATGAACAGTAGATTCAGAACAGACAAATGGAAATAGTTCTTTACACAGGAGTGATTAAAATATGGAATTTGCTGCCAGAGGATGCAGTGATAGCCACAGGAACAGACAGCTTTAAAAGGGGATTAGATAGTTTCATGGAGGACAGGTCTATCAGGGGCTACTAGCCATGGTGTCTGAGGGGAACCTCCACATTCAGAGGCACCAAGTCTCTGAATCCCAGTGCCAGAAAGCTACATAAGGGAAAGGTCTTGGCCTCTATGTCCTGTTGTTGGCCACTGTGTGAGACAGGATACTGGGCTACATGGACCACTGGTCTGTTCCAGAAGGGCTCTTATGTTCTTAAACAAATGGTATCATTTCTGTATCTGCAATGAAATCCAAAGATTACAAAAGGTGCTTCATTTTTATGTTTTGAGAAAAAGCAAAATAGGCATTTTCTAAATTGGGAGTTTAGACACTGTGTTTTCTAGTCCTCATTTGGGTTTGTTCTCTTGCCTAAAACCCAGGAATCTATCTTTTGGAGGTCGGTAGGCAGGAAACACTGTACATGAGGGGTGGATCTCGGGGGGGGACTTCCATTCCTTCCTTCTTAGGGTCAGAGGGAACAAAGAAACAAGATGGAGTAGATCAGAACTAGAAAGATGAGTTAGTTAGACTGTTGTTGTTTTCTTTCCATGTAATCCTTTCCCTAATTTTTAAGTGAATCTATTCTTAGAAGTGAAATACACATGTTTCTGTGCTGCATTATTCTGCTGCACTTCACTTACTCTCAGGGGTCGTTTTGTAGAAAAAGAGCTAGAGGAATTCATTAGCATAACTTATTAGCATATGCCACACCCCGACATCACCGGAAGTGTGTCATAAGGCCACACCCCCTGACATCACCGGAAGTGTGTCATAAGGCCACACACCCCGCCCCCAATGGTCCCAGCCACCGGCGCCGGCCTTGCAGCTCCACTGCCGAGCCCCATGAGGGGCCCGGCGATGGACCTGCAAGGCCGGGAGTGCAAGGAAGCCCCGCGAAGGCCCTCCCTGGCCCCAGGCAGGCAGGGGTGGGGAGAGGCAGGGAGGAAGCAACTTACCCTCCCTCTTCTCCTGCCTCCTCCTGACTGAATGAGGGCTGGAAGCGGGGCGGCCGGAAGCAGGGTGTGGGGCTTCATCATGTGCCCCGCCCCTGTACCTCACCCGGGGGAACTGCGATCCCCCACGATCCCCCCAAAATGACCTCTGCTTACTCTGCTAAATAAACACTGTTGGAACAACTAATGCAACTAAACTTGGTTTCACTGTTGAGAAAACTAATAGTGGTTATGGCTCCTTTGGTGCCTTCACTAATGAACAGTGTTATAGAAGATAGAGATAAGAACTGTTTAGGTTAGCAGCATTAATGTCTTGGCATCTGTCTTGAGACAATGGAATATATTCTCTGGTGAGAAATTAATACCTGTAAACCCAAACAAAGGACAATGCTACATACAAAAAGGCTACATATCCACACAAGAACAGAAAGGTGTACCTGAATCAGTCTGCTGGTACAATAAGTCAGTGGGTGTAACGGACAATGAATGGTTAATGTGCTAGCCCTGTCTGAGAACCTTGATTGACAGGGGGCTTAAATGGAATTCTACAGTTGAAACCAGCAGTTAAGAGTGACAGCTGAGAGTGGCAGTTAGAACTATGAAGTTCAGTTAAGAAGAGTGAGAGGATTGAAGAGTATCCTGAAATTATGGAACTGGGACCTGTAGTCCTTTCCTGAGGGAAACAGCTCCTAATAAAAAGAGATGATCCCTATCAAATGTT